TATCAACATTATTATCATCCTAAATCCAAAGCACAGCACCATAGCAGATATTAGGAGGAAAATTAACTCTATCCTAGCTGAAACCAGGACATCATAACACTGGTAAGCTCACTGATCTTAAATGCAACTCCCAGGCCTCTGGGTTGAAGGTACTTGGGTGGAACACCCATGTAGAGCTGGTCAGGGCAAATAAGTACTGCTAGTGCACTCAGGACTCTGACAAAAAAAAAAAAAAAAAGAGTTTCAGCTCATGGAGGTTGCCAAAGGGCTGTTATATGAGATGCCCTATAAGCAGTCTTTGCATGAAAGTCTTCATCATATCTCATGAGAGAGGTCTCAGCTAGGACCATGGCACAGAGAAATGTGCAACTCCAAAGAAGTTTAAATAGAAGTTTGCAAAGTAAATTGAGACCTGCAATGGAAATATTTCCAAAAGCAGTCTTTACACAGAGGCAGGTTAATAGGTCACAGTTTTTTTTTTTTGTTTGTTTGTTTGTTTGTTTGTTTGTTTTGGGGGGGGGGGGGGGGAAGAGGAAATAGACTTTTTCCTGTTTATCAGTTGTTGTTTATTTGTTGTCCTCTTTATTGGTTTTTGGAAAAAAAAAAAGAAATAAACAAAAAAAAACCACCACTAACAACAAAAACAACAAAAAAAGCCACAACAATTAGTTGCCTATTTTTCTCAAGGAAAATGGGGTATATATGTATTCGGGGAGGGGTTCTATTTTCCAGACATCTATCAGAGTCTGCAGAAAAATATACCTGTCCTTCTAGAGTTATATGTCTGGCTATTTAATCATAGAATTACTGAATCATTGAATCATAGAATCATGTAATCGTAGAATCATACAATGCTTTGGGTTGGAATGGACCTTATTTACCCATTCCACCCCCCCTGCCATGGGTAGGGACACCTTCCAATAGATCAAGTTGTTCAAAGCCCCATCCAACCTCACCTTGAACACTTCCAGGGATAAGGTATCCACAGCTTCTCTGGGCAACCTGTTCCAGTGCCTCCCTTCATAGTAAAGAATTTTTTCCTAATTTTTAATTATAATCTTTTTTGTTTGTTTGTTTGTTTGTTTAGTTTAAAGCCATTAGCTCTTGCCTTTCATTACACTTCCTGATAAAGTGTCCCTCTCCTGCTTTCCTGTAGGTCCCCTATAGGTACTAGAAGGCTACTACAAGGTCTCCCTGGAGCCTTCTGTCCAATCTGAACAACCCCAACTCTCCCAGCCTGTCTTCACAGGGGACATGCTCCAGCTTTTCATGATCCTCATGGCCCTCCTCTGGACCTGTTCTAATACATCCACATCCTTCTTGTTCTGGAAGCCTCAGAGCTGCAACAGTACTCCAGGTGGGGGGTCAAGAGAGCAGAGCAGAAGGGGAGAAACACTTCCCTAACCTGCTGGTCATGCTGCATTTGATGCAGCCCAGGATACAGTTGGCTTTCTGGGTTGCAAAAGCACACACTGTAGGCTCATATTGGGCTTCTCATCAGCCAACACCACCAGGTCCTTCTCCTCAGGGCTGCTTTCAATCCATTCTCCAACCAGCCTACATTTAGGCTTGGGATTGCTCAGGGCCAGGTGCAGAACCTTTCACTTGACCTTGTTGAACCTCATGACATTTGCACAGGCCCACCTCTCAAGCCTGTTCAGGTCCCTCTGGATGGCATTCCTTCCCTCCAGTGTGCTGAGCTCACCACATGGCTTGGTGTCATTGGTAAACTTGCTGAGGCTGCACTCAGTCCCACTGTCTGTGTCACTGACAAAGATGTTAAATAAAATATCCCAGTACTCATCTCTTAGGAATACCACTTGTTACTGATCTCCACCTGGACACTGAGATATTGACCACAACAGCCATCCAATCAATTCCTTACCCACTGAGTGGTCCAACTGTCAAATCCATGTCTCTCCAAGTTAGAGACAAGGATATCAGGGGGGACAGGGTCAAATGGTTGACACAAGTCCAGGTGGATGATGTTTGTTTCTCTTCCCCTATGCAGAAGGCCACCAAATTTGTCAGGCATGATCTGCCTTTAGTGAAGCCCTGTTGGGAGTCCCAAGTCACCTCCTCATTTTTCATGTGCCTCAGCATAGTTCCCAGAAGGATTTGCTCCATGGTCTTGCCTTTCTGTTTCCCTTGATATTCCTGGCCAAATTTAATTCTTAAAGGGCTTTGGCTTTCTTTCCTAACCTGATCCCCATCTGCTTGTGTGATTTCTCTGTGTTCCCAGAATATCCATTTTGCTCCAGGACTCTGTCCTATGGCACCCTACCAAAACTACATTTACTGATCCAAAACTACACCACTACAGCTAAGGCTGCTATTGAGCTTCACATTCCCCACAAGCATCTCTTTGTTGGTGAGAATGAGGTCCAGCATAACACCTCTCCTTGTTGGCTTCTCTATCACTTGGAGAAGGAAGTAATTGCCAATGCATTCCAGGAACCTCTTAGATTGCATATGCCCTGATGTGTGGTCCCTCCAACAGATACTGGGTTGGTTGAAGTCTCCCAGCTTGTGAACATGAGGCTGCTTCTGTTTAAAGAGGGCCTTATCTTCAGGTGGCCTGTAGCAGACCCCCACTATACTGTCCCATGTCACTTCCCTCCCTTTAATCCTGACCCACAGTTTTTCTGTTAGCTCCTCATCCATTCACTGGCAGAGCTCCATGCACTCCAGCTGCTCGTTGACAAAGAGGGAGATGCCTCCTCTGTCTGTCCTTCATGAAAAAGCTGTGTCCTTCCTTCCAGCATTCCTCCCATGGGATTCATCCCACCACATCTCCATAATGCTAATGAGGTACATCTCTAACTCATCTTGTTTATTCTCCATGCTAGGTGTGTTAGAATAGAGACGTGAGTTGACTTAGTGGCTGGAGTAGCTGGAATTCCTTTGTGCTGCTCTTCAGGTGCTCTCCTGCTGACCCATGACCCTTCTCCAGGCTTTGGGCACCTATTGCTGACACCTGCATAAAACTGGGAAGAAATGGATGGATTGTGGTTCTGATTCCCTGGAAACTTTAGTTTAAAGCCCTCTTCACCATCTTGACAATCTTATGACAGAAGATTCTCTTCCTCTTCTCTGACAGGTGGGCCCTACCAGCCCCCAGCAGACCAGGTTTCTCAGAGTCTCATGACCTAAGTAGTCAACCCCCTTTCTATTACACCAGTCCTGTAACCATCTGTTTGACAGATTCAACTGGCCCTTTCAATCCCCTGCCCTTTGACCAGAAGGAATGATGAAAAAACTTGCTGCTATACTAAGTCCTTTACTGCTCCTCTTAGGATGTATCCACTTGAGTAGTCATGCTGCATCTGTGTTACTTCTAGTCATTTTTCTTGCTTTCTAATCAAGCTTTCTGGATGTCTTAATGATATATCCCAGCGCTGGCATGTGTAGCATTTTCCATGACTACAACATAGTGAGGGTATAGACTGAAAGACAAATTTACTGTATCTTTGTGGGATAAGACACTGAGCTGGTCAAAGCTATGAGACTGAATTGCTCACAATTTTTCTTGAAGTAAATGCATAAAAAATAAATAATAATAATAAAAAAGGTATTAATAGAAAAGAAATTAGTGTAATGATTTCTTAAAACACAGATCTTAGATCTCAGGGTTGAGACATTAAAATAAAAGATTAATTTACAATTTTTTGTCTACCTGTCGTGCCCATGCTAGGTTCATCCTATTGATCTGACCCAGTCTTGTTTTAAGTTCAATAGCATAATTTCTCAGTTATGAGAAAATTCACAATATTTTCTGTGAATTCAGGATCTCTGCTCTTTCCTTAATGTTAAAGCTTGACTGTGATTTTGCTTACGCAGGACTCTGAATGTAGGTACTCTACCTCAACTTCTCAAATCCTCAACTGCAAATCTTCTGAAACCAGAGTTCAACAGATAGGATCATGAAAAAACAGCTTCTCTTTCTGCTTTTGAATGACAAAGATTCCACAAAGCTAAAATGTAATGCAAATACAGAATCTCTAAACAAACCAATCAGTTATATTATTCATCACACTTTGAATTTTACCTCCCTTCTTTTCCTTCAAAACTCCCCAGACTTGTTCTCTAGTAAGTAAAGAAGGATGACATTAGATGGCTGTTCCTGAATGGTTTGAATAGCTGATATTTCGGACATTTCATAGAATCATAGAGTCATAGAACATCCTGAGTTGAAAGGGACCCATAAGGATCATCAAATCCAGCTCCTGGAACCACACAGGTCTGCCCAAAAGTTTAGACCATGTAACTAAGTGCACAGTACAAATGTTTTTAAATTCAGACAGGCTTGGTGCAGTGACTACGTCACTGGGGAGCCTGTTCCAGTGTGCGTCCACCCTCTCGGTGAAGAACCTCTTCCTGATGTCCAGCCTAAACTTCCCCTGCCTCAGCTTAACACCGTTCCTGCGGGCCCTATCATTGGTGTTTACAAAGAATAGTTTGTCTAGGATTGTGCTACTTTTCCTCATTAGTTATCCACAAAGCCAAGCTGTATAGGAGTTTAAGAAGACCCCTACTAAACCACATCAAAGGTCCATTTAGCCCAAGGGCTAGAAATCAATTCTCAGGAAAAACATTAGACCACAGAAACTGTATAGTGACATTTCCCCAGGATACAACAAGTAATTTGTTTCAGAGTTTACGGGCTACAAATCTATACTGTCTTAGGGAATAATGTAAATCAGCCAAAGTAGGAGCCATGGTATTAGAGAAAAAAATATCAACTACCTTCTTGTGACAGCTTTCAAACACTGTGTGAGGTTTTTTTTTTTTTATGTTTGTTGGGTTTTTGTTATTTTATTTTCATTCCACTGTTATAAGTATTTCTCCTTTCCCTCAAGAGAGTTGGATTACTCTGATTCTTCCTGCATGTGTATTTACCTTTGATTTTCTCATTTCAGTGAAAATGACTAAGCTCAAGTCAAGGTATATAAAGGGGCAAGTAAATATATTTTGTTTTGTTTTGTTTTGTTTTCATGAAGGAGGAAGAGGATAATATTTGAAATACTCTCTTGGAATCATTTCACCTGATCACTCCAAAGTATATCAGACTAGCAGATGGCAAGAGCCATCATAAATGACTACAAATCTATTCTTTGCACTTTTATGATTCCAAGAACATACTATTTATTCTGATGGTAAGTATCTTGAAATATCACTTTAAAAATAGATAATATCACAGAACAAAACTCAGAGCACATAAGAAGAATATGATTTTCAGAATCTCAGATCTTCAGAATCTTCAAAATTTCAGAATCTTCAGAATGAAATTGAATTTAAAGTGATGATAAACCTGCAGTCTTTGTTCACCTCCTGTTTTGCAAAATAAAAGACAACAGAAAAATATAATTCAAAGACATGCAAGGGAAGTAATATTTGATTAATAAATTGAAATATTAGCAGTAATTTCTATAACATTAAAATAATTTGGTTTTGTAAATTTTAGAGTAATTTTATGATATTTTTTAATATTGTTACAGTCATATCCAACAGAAAACGTTGAAACTCAGCCACTGAGATTTTTCTGTTTCTATCTTTCATTCATTCCTTCATTTAGAAAACATTGTAAGGCTGTTATGTTTGTATAAATCTATATTTCCTATTTTATTTTTTATTTTTTAATCTGAAAGGAAGAAAAAAACACATAGTATTCTAAGTGTTTATTGCATGAATTCCATCTTTTCTATTACTTATTTTTTCTCTTCTAGAATAAGAGGAGAATAAAGTAGAGAGCTCTAGAATAAAGTAGAGAGCTGGGGTAACTCCACAGAAATCACTAAAGCTACATGAATGTTATACTTGCATGAGGTAAGACAAAAGAGATAGTTTTCCTAAATAATAGAAACTAAATTAAACTAAAGTTGAGATTCTGAATATAGAGCAAAGGATGACTGGAAAAAATATCTAGTACTGTAATTCTCTAAAAAGAAGAAAATATATGCCCAGGAATTCAAAATTAAGAAGACTCTTAAAAGACAGTTAAATATTTTAAAGAGGGAAAAAGCATAGCTTATACTGCTAAATGTATTACTTCAATGGAATGATTGAATAATGCATGGCCAATTGAAAGTGGTCATTATGAACTTGCTCAATTCTGGTGGCTTTTTTTTTTTTTTAATTTAAATATTAACTATTTAAGTATTATGTTGGGAAGATATGTGTAGCCTCTCTGTAGCAATATTAAAAAAAAAAAAAAAGCCAAATAAAGCATATGTTTTTGAAATGTTCATGTTTGTGAAGGAATTGTTGATAGCCAGTTTAAATTCTTCATAGGACTAACTAAGGTGAAGAGAGTGGGAACTTGGGAACTAACACAGTAATGATATGATTGATATTAGCTAGATCTGGCAATGTATTCAAATTCTGTTCTTTGAAAGATATATCTCCCTACTGCTGTTAGAAAACTAGACAGCTGAAAGACCTGTACTTGCTTCTTTCCAAGCCCAGCAGAAATATAGCTTCTGAAATGCAAAGCCATGCACAGTGAAAACACAATAGAGGCATTTCATAACTACTTTAAGCTGTTAGTATAGGTAATTAGAAGAAAAATATTGTGTGAACAGAAACTAACCCACTCAAATTTATTGGTCTACACCAATATGAAAAAGTACATTCTGATGAAGGTATTATACTCTTTGAGAAGTAACAGTACCAAGCTGATTTTCAAATATTTGCTCCAAGATATTTCTTTTCCAGTTTGATACTGCAATTTTTGTAACACTGATGTGATGGCTCATAAAAATTGCATTAAAGAAAAGGTCAATTTTTTAAAGTAGAATCAAGGACTGGAAATATTAATTTATGGCTACTTTTTGGGAGCTAAAACTAATTTCAGAATGAATGTTTACATTGCAGAGTTCTCTCTGTTGTTGCAGATTTGGTGGGCCATACTACTAAGGGAGGTAATGTCAACATGATAGCATCACTGCTGTATCCTGTTGTGACTACAGATGTCCATATTTCTAGCCTACTGAATTTGGCAATGATTCACAAGTAGCAGTAGTACATTAAGGAACAAATTGAGCTATAGGCCAAAAAATATGAACATTGACAATGAGGGTTTGGAAGGAAGAGCAGGATTAAATAAATAAATAAATAAATAAATATAAGGTCAAAGAGCTAGGAAAACAGGACAGCTAAATATTTTCACTGAATCTTTAGCAACGTGTTCTGTATTGTGATTTGTTTGTAATAGATAAATAGTAAGAATATGATTGTTTTGATGATCAAAAATTCAAAATTAATTCAAAATAGAACTGTATATGATTACTTTATTCAGATGCAGCTTGGTTTCATCTAAGGATACAATTTAATGTATTTATGAGTGTTCCAAAGTATGTATCTTTCACGTATCTCTGCTGCATGTTAAGGTGAATCTAACTAAAGTGGTCTTCAAGATCCAGGGGAGTGCTCCCTCCCAGTCTGCTTACAGCTGACTCCAGCGCACTCTCAGCACATGGTTCCTCCTGTCTTGGTCCAATGGATACAGCTCGTGCTGTCTGCAGGTCAAGCCAGTAAGAAGGAAGAGAATATACTACAGAAAAGCGTAGCTTGATCCTTCCCTTCTGCCTAATTATGGCTGAGGTTCACTGGTGAAGTATGGACACACCCTTGCTCTCTGTTGCAGAGATCCACTTATGTATCACTTGAATAGTCACATTGCTTTAAGCCTGCAGAATACCTAGGCTCATATCTCAGGCCCTTTACCAGATCAGACCTTTGGTATTTCCAGGTGTTGTTTTCCTCCTGCTCACCAGTAGAACACTTGAAATTTGCTGGCAACTTAAAGAATCACACTGATCATGAGTAGGATTCACCTCCAGAATCAGACACATAAGGCTGCTTGAATGTAAGCCTCCAGTGCCAGGTATATCATGCTGTGGCTGCCAGCTCTTTAGAAGCATTTGTGCAGGATATATCACCCTGTTCAGGAGCTTATGTTTGGGCAGCTTAGTCATTCTGCTATATTTTGCAATATAAATGCTTACACCTGACCTAGGTATCTAAGCTCCTGCTACAGTCAATAGCAATCTAGTCAATACAGGCAGTGGATATACAGAGCTATTCAGCTATCTTAAAGCAGACTTCTACTTTAGGATGAGATAAATAGGTCCCTAGACTTCACTGACTATACTGGCTACAACTTCATTGATTATGATGGGTGCTTAGACAGCAGTTTACATGTTGTAAGCTATGTTGTTGCAACAAGAATTTAGATGTCTGAATCTGGAGCTAAATTCTACTCTTAAAGACATTTGCATTTATTTATTTATTTATTTGTTTATTGTGGAAAACAAAACAAAATAAAATAAAAAAACCACCACTTATCTATTTTTTTTTTTAAGGAAAAATTTGGCCTAACTATGATTTTCTTTCATAATTTAGATAAATTATACTATAACATACGTTGAACAAGGTAATAATCCAAAATAAATTTCAATCAGTTTTATCTATCTCAAGTATTACTATCTAATGTTACTCTTTGTTTTGACTGTTCTACATTAACCAAAAATTATGTTTGTATATTTATTCTGAATTTGATGCTTATGGATCCAGAAGCATTTGGGGGGGGGCTAAATTATGAATCAAACTCCAATTGTAAACAGAAGTTAAATAGTTATCTTTTCTAAATGTGTATTTTACAGAATGCAAAGCACCAAGAAAACTTTTTTGCTCAGAACTTTCTTTTTATCCATCACATACAAAATGTCTTGCATTTTATTATTTCTTATATGTGAGATGGATGCAATTAATAACAATGCATCCAATAGTCTTAAACTATTGCTTTTGACATAGACAAAAATTAGATAATTCTGTGGAGTACTAGCTCTTAAAAAGACCTTAAAGATTAAATAAAGATTTAAAAATTAAGGATAAAAAGATTGCTTCATCCAGCTCTGGGATCCTAAGAAAAACAAAACAAAACAAAACGAACAAACAAACAAAAAGAAAACAAAAACAACAACAAACAAACATTGAAGTGCAGAAGGAAGTTAAGTTGGTTTGGGGGCTAGATTTGTTCTTCCTGGAGAGAGAAGGTTAAGGTCAAGTCTCATTTCTATCTACAGCTACCTAAAGGAGGGTGTAAAAACAGTCGGGAAAGATGCATCTTAGTGGTATGCAGTGGAATGATGAGATACAACAGATACAAATAAGAAAGTGGGAAAGTCTGAGTCAACATGCTGGGTTTGGCTGGGGTAAAGCTAATTTTCTTCATGTAGCTTGTATGATGCTGTGTTTTGTATTTGTAATGAAAGGCAGTGTTGATAACACAATGATATTTTAGTTGTTGCTGAGCAGTACTTAAGCAGAATCAAGGTCTTTTCGGTTTCTCATACTGCCATGCCAGTAAGCTCTGAGGAATCACAGGAAGCTGGGAGAGGACACAGACTGGACAAATGACCCAAAATGACCAAAGCGATACCCCATAACATATGACACCATACTCAGCAATAGAATCTGGGGGAAGGAAGGAGGAGATGGGGGTACAGTAGGAGTGATGGCATTTGTCTTCCAAGTACCTGTTTTGTGTGATGGAGCCCCCATTTCCTGGAAATGTTATATGGGGCTTAGCTGCCTAACAGGGTTAAAACACAATACTGCATAAAGGAGAAAACAATTTGACAAGACTTTAACATATGTCTGGAGATGTGGTACACCCTATATGTCCTTGGAGGCATTCGAAGCTTGAAGCTTGACTGAACATGACCTACATGGCCTATGCTGCTTTGAACAAGAGGCTGGGCCAGACGACCTCTGGATATTCGTTTCAAACTATGTGAATCTCATTCTATGCATTTAGCTTTCCTTTCCTTTCCTTTCCTTTCCTTTCCTTTCCTTTCCTTTCCTTTCCTTTCCTTTCCTTTCCTTTCCTTTCCTTTCCTTTCCTTTCCTTTCCTTTCCTTTCCTTTCCTTTCCTTTCCTTTCCTTTCCTTTCCTTTCCTTTCCTTTCCTTTCCTTTCCTTTCCTTTCCTTTCCTTTCCTTTCCTTTCTTTTCTTTTCTTTTCCCCACTTAAAACAATGAGATAAAACTGGGACTTAATTCTCATTTTTCATCCAGAATTTTGTAATGAAAAAGATGACAAGCTTCTACTTGTCTCATTGGTCTCATTGTTTCTCTAAAGGGGAAAATAATGTCTTTAACAGATATCAGCTGAAAAGCAAATGAACTTTAGGCATATCAGCCATTTTTCACATTAAAAACTTCAACAAGCTGTGTTCCAGGGCTTTGATTTTTCCAGTCCTCTAGGATAGGTATCTACTCAAGAATGATATAACTTCAACAGGGTTGAAGAAGACCACGATTTCTCTCTATGGAAGCAAGAAATTTGAAAGTTTGTTGGTCTTACTGTTATGGAAGAGTGATGAGGGCAAAGTGTACATTCTAAAACACAAGGTATTTCTCAGCTTCTCTATACTAAACATTAGATCTTGTCTGGTCTCATAAAAGATGCTACTTTTCCTTCATACACTTGTAACATTAACACTAACCCATCAAAGCTAGTGCAATACTGTCATTCCTCCTGCTGCATATAGTAGAAGTAAAAGACATTCCTCTGAGTGGCAGAATTCAAAGTGAAACCTCACTGGTTTGAAATCAAAAGCATCTCTAATAACTGACGGAATGAGGAATAGGTTAGGGTTTCAGAACTTCTGTTTTTAACAATCTAATATAAATCACTAGAGATTTAATGATCAGAAGCTATGTCATTAGTAGATTATTATTAGATTTAATTAATAATCCAGATGTTAAATCAGTTTTCATCTTCATTTTATTATTATAATTTCTAGTGTTACTTTGAATCTAGT